AAAAACCACCGGTTCAATTTCTCATGCAATCTTCTTTCAATTTTTTCCAATTTCACCCTTCTCATTCCTTTCTTATACCCATTTTAACCTTTAATTTTAATAAAATTACAAAATTATCAACACCAAATTAGAAAATCCATGCCTGAAGCTTGCTCCTCTCATCAAATCTTCCTTGCTGTTTGGATCGGTCGGTTCATCGATTCAACTGGTTGAACTGGTTAAACCAAAAACCGAACCTAAAAACGATTCAATGATCGGTCCGGTTTTTAAAACCTTGCTTGTCTCTACAACGGCAGAAGGTGCAATTCAACCCCTCTGTTTCAATTGTTGTGGCATATGAGTCCCTCTACTTAAAAGTAATGCAAATCAACCCCTCTACTAGCAAAAACCCACAAAGCAGCCCTTTTATTGGTGATGACATCATAAAATGTCAACTTTTGGTTTGCCTTTCTATTGTCCCGTTAATTAGGGATGACTTGGATGAAGAAGAATAAATTAATAATAATTTTAATTATTTATTAAACCAAATCATTTGCAAATTACATAGAACAGAACCCATCCAACATTGTCTTCTTCCCCGATTTCCTTCTCTCTTTTCTCGGTCCTCTCCCATCAACCCTAGTTCTAAACCCCAGACCCCTCATCTTGAATTCAAGCTTCAGCTTCACTCTCACTTTTCAAAATTTTCAAGCAAAACCATTGAAATTGAAGTCGAAGGTGTTGAAGAACCCAAGCCCCCAATTTCCCATCAAATCTTCAAGTCACCATCCAAATCAAGTTCATACAAATTGGTGTTCTTTTCTTCCCCTTCCCTCTCTTTTTTTCGATGCTCTCTTCTTTCGTTCTCCTTTTGGATTTTGTTTCTTTTCTAGGCCCTTCTTTTTCTCCTTGTCATTCTCTTTAAATTTCCAGATTTAGTTTGATAAAACCTAGATTTTGGGTTCATGGAACCCAAATTAAGCCACAGATTTCTAGATTTGCAAAACCTAGATTGAACTAGGGCAACCATGTCACGTTAGCTACAAGATATCCTAAGTGATTTATGATCCAAGCAAAAGGGATAATTGTTAGAAGGGATTGATGGCTACTCAAATTTGTACTTGTGTCAATCCCAATCTTGCTAGAATCTCAAGTTGTTGGTTGTGCTTCGTCTATTGATCCTCTGTTCTCAATTAGGTATCATGCCCTAACCTGTAATTTGCAAATTTCGTTTAATGTTGAAAGTGAGTTTAATTGACTGTTTAATTCCCCATGTATTTGTGTTGTCCTAGATGATTGTTACTTAGTTGATTGCTTTGAGGTGTTCATTATCTAGCTTGGATTAATGAAAGTAGTGTTTGAGATGCTCTAGTTTTCATATTTATTTAGTTAGGTTATCTCTATTGATTTTGTGTTTCTATATTTGTTATTGATGGATTGAGATAAGACTATGGATTAGTAAAGGAGTTGAATTTACCTTTTTAATTTTCTCAATGTTTATGAATTTTATGGTTTAAAAAATTTATCGTTGCGTCTTTCTTTTTTTTTTTTTTTTGGTGATTTTTAATTTTTTGTTCCTAATTTTGATAATTTTTTAACAAAGATTAGATGCATTAATGTTCCATGAGATCTAAAGGATGATATGTTTGAATCCTAAAAAATTGAATTCCTTGTGAAGTAAAATGTTTTCTCCATTCAATCAACTTGTCCTATGAGCTAAGGAAAAAAAAAAAAAATTCTAGGTTGTGTTATTTTTGCTCAGTCATGTCTTGATCAATGCCAAGTAATCGTTTGTTGACAAGTAAATAGAAAGGTAGACAGAAAGTTGCGTTTTATGATGTCATCGTCAATCAAAGGACTGCTTTAGAGGGGCGGATTTGCACTACTTTTAAGTAAAAGGGCTAATATCCCACAACAATTGAAGTAGATGGGCTGAATTGCACCTTCTGCCTTTCCACAACTTTAATTGTTAGTCAACTCACATAGATCACGTGACAAGCTGCAATATGAACCACAAAAAACTGACATTCATTGGCTTGTTTTGCTACTCCAACTAAATACAACTTCATCATCTAAGAGTATCCAACCAAAATTCTTATTTCAAAAATCTGATATGTGCCAAGAACTAGACAGCAATAACTTGCAACTGGTAATAATATTTCAGATGGGATGGCAAAAATAAGATCAGTGAGTATGTTAGAAGCAACGACGAATGAGATTCTGAAAGCAGGTAGTATTACTATTATCTATTATAAAATGTAAAGATTTGAGGTTGAACCCACTGATATTGGTGTAAAGTCAGCAAGGGATGAGATTCCAGAAGCAGGTAGCATAATCTCTTATGAAATGCAGAGATTCGTGTTCAACCAACTTATTTTGGCGTAAAGTGTAAATATCTAAACCATAATACTGTATATCAGAATACCGATCAGATCTTAGGACATGGGTGTAGCAATAAAGGAAAAAGAATCCACAGTTTTAAAACAACTCGAAAAGCAGATTGTGAACTTGAAAGCCAGCTAACCAATCAGTGCAAAAGTCAACTTCTTGAATCTTAAATGTGCCAACAATTAGAAAGCAATTACTAGAATTTGGTAAACAATATTTCAGACGGATCACCAAAAATATGACCATGCTGATAAAAAGAAAAAAAAAATTTGTAGGATCAACCATGAGCCATGAGTATGTTAGCGGCCAGCAAGGAATATGATTCTTCTATATTTCAAAAGTTATATGAGAAAGCTAGAAACATTATAATGCAGAGATTCTGATAGAACCCATTCTTAGGCAAAACCCCAAATCCAATCTTCTAAATTACTCTCCCAAATTATCAATTAAGACAAATCACTTATTATTTGACATGCGGACATTATCACATATCAGCTTTCCCTTAAAAATTGTTTAGATAGCTAATAGATTTATGAGATGCGATGACGTAGGCAATTTGCCCCCCTTTTTTTAAGAAGCGGATTTATCCTTATCTCCTATTTGAGTGACATTTGAGGGTTTCGCTCCATTCTTATTGAAAATAACAATGAAATAAAATTCAAATTTGTTTTTATCTAAACAACAATGATGGATCTTACAATACCAATCAAATCTACAAAATAATACAATTTGAAAGAGTTTACGAACTTCAAAGTTAGCTTATCAATCTATACAAAAAACTTCTTCATACGTCTTATATGTGCCCACAACTAGAAAACAATCACTTGGTAATATCAGTCATGAGATTGTTTGATGCCCAGCAAGGAATAAGATCTGAAATTTACTCAATATTTCAAAACTATATGACCACACGCAGGCAGTAGAATATTTATAATAGGCCCACAGAAATGAAATTTTATTCAATGCATTATCGAGCAGCGGCAGCAGTCCCATATAATTAATTAACTGCATTATCCAGAATTATATTAAGGGGTCATGAGATTTTTGAAGACCATGAAGTGCATTACATTTCCAACAAGGATTCTATTGTTTTGAACCCATGATTCTCCGTAAGTACATCTCCTTGCCAGATGGCAATTTTCACTTCCAAACTTTAAACATTATCTAAAATACCTTAGAGAAATGTTTTGCAGTGATTTAATTTTCTTGCATGCTAAAGGCAGTTAAAAAATCTGCAATTCTTATCCATTTTCAAGGACAAAATGAAACACAGACTAAATTTTTTTCATCAGTTTCTAACACCTAGGACCCATTTGCAAGGCTCTTCTCCTACAGAGTTCAACCAAAATCCAGATCTGTGTGAACTTAATAATGCAACAAACAACAATGAACAGAGCAGATTGCCACAAATATGAACAATATGCAAATGCTAATTGTCGAAGAGAAATATACTTTAATTTGTCTAGACAGGGCCATTCACAGATTATCATGAACAAGCAAGGAGCAACACATTACCTGCAGGCACTGCAGCAATTATTTATGATGGCCTATAAAATCCCACAGTTTGCAAAATCTCAAAATAACTATGTGCTTCCTTTATATTTCTGTAAGTTGAAATTTTAGAAGATTTCACTTAACTGGTGTCTGTGAAAAAATTAAGATCAAAAACAGGCAACACAAAAGGCTTGACTGACTTTAGTTTCCAAAAATCCACATTTGTATTTTCTCACATCGCCAAAGTTGGGATTCTAAAACAAAAGTTGTACTTCCGTGCTACCACTTGAGTATGCATACACCTTTAATAACTATGCAAAAGCTATTTTGTTCTTTGAACAAAAAAAGCTGCTTAATTTATAAAACAGAGCAGTTTTTGAATAATACTTTAAGAAAGGGGTAATTAAACAAAAACAAAAACATCACTCAAGAGCAATTTATTAATCAATCAAAAAATATGTAAAAGGAAAGACAACCAAAAAAAAAAAAAAAGAAAAAGAAAAAGAAAAAGAAAAGATAAGAGACAATGCAGGTTTTATGACAAAAGAAGACTATAAAGAAGAGAGAACGCTAGACCAAATTTCAGAGACGACTTTGTTAATTGGTTATGGGGACTATTGCAGGAGATAACAAAAACAGTCGCAACAAATTTTTACATCAATAAAATTATATGAAACTTGAAGCCTGAGCATTCCACCTCTTAACAGCCTCATAAGGTACATTTTCAAATATTACACCAAGCAACTCATAACTTTGAAATCATATTCCCCATACACGACCTTGCACAAAAACACTTAAACAATTAGGATGAGCCATATCTTACAGGAAGAAAGAAACTCTCAAGATTACACTTATAGTTTGCTTACTTGGAGTTGTTTTAGGACAGTGACTTCCCTGTTGGTCATAGACTCCTAGTCATTGCTTCAACCTTCACAACCAAATAAGCAAACACTGAATCTTTCCCAATATATAATATGGAGGTATGGGCAGAGCACCAGAAACACCTTGTTCCAGATCATCCTGAATCTAAAAGGGAATGTTTGGAAATGAAACCATAGGTTCACAATGCAAATACTCAGACAAAACTCCCAAATCACAAGATTGTTTTGCTTCATGTGTACCACAGTCAATGGCAAAAGGAGAGCAGAAAAATCTTACTTCAGAACAGAGAAGAAACTATCACGTTGAGTTTCTTCAGTATCATATGTAGATGCTGTAGCTAGAAGTTTTCCCATATTGGGCAAAAAGAATATCGGTCACAAATGATCTAGAAGTCATTGTCCCTTCAACATTGAGGAGAATACAGTGCTGCATTATGCTACATGATCATGTTGTCCATGTAGACATACTTACAGTAGCAACTTAAATTATTAATTATGTAGCATAAAAGATACCTGTCAACATACTTATCTCAGACGTAGTCATACTTATTTTCACTCTGCCTGTTAGTTGGACTAAAAAGAGAATAATGTAAAATAGATTGCCTTGTTTAACTTCACGCTTATTTTCTTGTTGGTATTAACCTCCTGGTATCCAATAATCACATTAGGTCTCAACTAATCTGGAATCAAACCACATCGGACCCCATATGGGGGGAAACTCTCCCAACACCTATTTCTCTATTCACAAGACTCAAACTCGAGACCTTACGTAAGGGAAACTGAGCCCTTTCCACTCGGACCAACCCTTCCACTCGGACCAACAGGTCATTGGTGTTTAACTTCACACTCTGCAGTATAACAATATAAATCTTGAATAAAAAAATTATAGCTATCCTAGTGATGGCTATTCCTATATTTACATAGAAGTGAACAAATTGAAAAATAAAACAACAACAGTAGCACATTAAGCGAAAGATTGAAACTCAGCAAATGCTACATCAAGTACCCTAAACCTAATGTAGGTGCCAAGTATGGCCCAATTCCAATGACTCAACCATTCTAGTTACACACAAGAATAGTTTAGGGGAGAATAGAAATTGCCAGTAGGCCTACACGATACAAAATAATGGTGCCATTTCTACTTCATCCATCCAAAACTGGGATTAGATAGGATTTAAACAATGCCTACATGCGAAAATAACTCCAGATCACTTGAGTTGCATGATATCAGAGATTCATAGAAATTAGAACCCCATAGGTTACCAATCCACAAAAACATCCACAAAAGGCAAGTTAATTCAGCACTCCAATCATCAAAAGACTCAAAATCCTTTCGCCATTCCATCTAAGAGAGGAAATAATTACACTATTCAGAGGCCACAAT